ACCCCACATGCCTCAACAAAGATCAAAGTCCTGTGGCTGCAACTAAGACCCGGGGCAGCCAAATAAACAGATTACTTAATTAAAAAAAAAAGACAAGGCCAGAATTAAAATCTCAGGTTTATCTGACTCTAAAATCTGTATCCTTTTTACTATATTACACTGTACAGTATTAAAATGAATCGACTAAAATATATTATCCACAATACCTCTGGTATTCAATTAAAGTATTTGAGTTTAATGTTAACAGAAAAATCTACACATCTATAAACGATAGTCATAGCATGAAAGGATTTTACTATGTATACGTTTATGTTTTCAGGGCCCAGTACTGAGTCCTAATTCGTCTGACTCTAGGCCGTAATAAGCTATGCTGAAACATCAATCCACTGGATTAGGGTAAACACTAAGAACTGCCACTAAAATGTCTCATTCAGGAAAAGCCTCTTCCCTCCCCCTCCAAGACAATGGGCAGCACAGAAAGTGTTCGATTTAATTAGCCGTGTATGCAGAAAGAGATGCTCATCTGTTTCCATGGAGTCACACACATCACGACACACTTCTCCATGGAAACAGAGAAAGGAAAACAGAAAATGCTAAAGTGAATGAATTCATCGAGCAGTCGGCGAGCAAAGATTGAAGGAAAAAAATAATTCATCTGTAGTACTATGTTACCAGTTTAGAAAAGAGAAACAGCATATACTTAAGAGATCATCATTTATGCTACATAAAAAAACACACAAGATATACTGAAATTTAAGATGTATCTTAATACTAAAAAATAACATATTATTTGGTTGGAATATACAAATGTTAGGAAATACCACAGAGCAAAGGTATTACTGTCTTTGAACAGTAGACAAAAATGGCAGATTTCTTAAAAGGTGAACAATATTACAGCTCAAAGTCAGTAATCAGTGAGGGATTTCTTAGACAAGACAATAAAATACATAGAACTGACATAAACACTTTTATCAGTTCTGCATTTATTTCATATCATGATTGCTTCTTTTCCAGGAATTTTTTCCTTTGGAGATATAAAATTATAGAAATATTTCAAGTTTTATTATGTAACACATTAATTTATATGATTGAGCCTATTTAAGTGTTTCTAATTTACAACATACTGCACACTTTGTTCCCCTTGATAATTATATTTCATGTTAAAATAATGAAAGAGTTATAGAATATGTTTTCTTGAGGAATTCTGACTTAAAATTTTTTTTCCAATGAAATTAAGCCCTAACTTGTCTCTTAATTCAATTTAACTCAATTCAGATTTAATCTCAGCCCTTTAAATGATTACAGACTTATTGGGAGGAAAGATACTTAAAACAATGATAATAATTTTCATTTACTTCTTCAAGAAGCATTTCTCAAGTGCCTACTATGTGCCAACCACTGTGCTGGATTTTGTGTGTATAATGATGACTTCAGCAGACCTGGTCTGTACTCATGGAGGCTATTAGAGAGGCGAGAGATATTAAAATAGTCAAACGTACACACACACAGTGATGACCTGAGATAAATTCTAGGAAAGAAAACTGAAGAGTTCCAAGAGAAGACACAGTGAACAGACTTCACTGAGATTCAATGGGCAGAGCAGGCTTCTATGAAGAAGTGACCTCAATGATGAGATTTGAAGGATAAGTAAAGGTCAGCCAGACAGAGAATGAGAATAGTATTTTAGGCAAAATCTTTTCAGATGGAAAAGGGCTTACAGATTTGAGAAATGAAAATAAAGCAGGTTTTTCTAGGAAGAGAGTGGTGAAATGTGAGGTTGGAGAGAAAAAGAGGTGTAGTTTCAAAATTTTGTTCCAAATACAATGGGAAGCAAATCAAGTGTTTTGAGCTTGAAAGTGATATAACTGAATATACAATTTTCAGCACAAGTAAACATGGAACATTTAGGAGAAAAGTCCAAAAAAGGAAAAACTAAACTATAGAGTGTAAGACACATGACTAGGTGGCAAAACTACAATATAATTATCACATAAACGTCAAGACAGCATATTACACCAATAGGGAAGGAAGAATGAACTGGGGCTTCTGGAAGAACAATGTCCTGTTCTCTAACCTAATGTTGACACATGCACTTTTGCTTCTTATTTATTTGTTAAATTGAACATTTAAGTTCTATGGACTTCTCTGTACATATATTTCAAAATAAGAAAGTATATTTTCTTTTCTTTCAGTAAACTATAGGTGGAGATAAAGAGTGCAGATGGCTCAGGAAGCTTGGTTTCGGCGACAGGCTGATAACTGCCCCACTCTCTCATTCTTTCTTTCTGGGAACTGCGCACCCAGAGTTTTAGCTGGGCTTGATGCCATTCCGGGAGAATTGTTTTAGCCTCTTGGTCCTGGCGTGGCTCTAACTCCACCCACTGCCAGGATGACAAATTGCTACTCTGCACCCTCTCTTTCCCCCTTCCTGCTGGCTGGGCTCTGACAACAGCAAAGAATCTGCCTTTGACCCAGAGATGGAAGCCACATGTTGAGAATGGCAAAGTAAAGCCCTAGCAACATCCCTGGATGATTTTGTAAAGCAGAGATGTCTCTCCACCCTAGACTGCCAGCTCACCTTTGTTCTATTATGAGAATGAAATATACCTCTATCATATCTAAGTCACTGTTAAAGCAGTTTAGCCCATGCACTCATACATTTACACAAAGGAAGGCAGATGAACACGGCAATACCTAGAGGGAACAGAGACGGGGTTTTTAAACAATGGCGCTAACAGAGCATGTTTATCTTCAATGCTGATAAAAGAATTTCAAATAGTAGAAAAGGTTGATGATGTAGCAATCCGAGGTTAAAAAAATGAAACAAGATCCCTCAGAAGACAGGACGTAAGGACAAACTATCTTTGACAGAAAGGTATATTTGCTCTGTTTTAGCAGGAAGAGAGAAGATGGGTGAAGCTGTAGGCTGACACAGTTATTGGGCTGAAAGTTGGGAGAGTTCCTATTTAGTGTTTTCACTTTCAGTAAGAAGCATAAAGCATGAGCTGAGAAAGGGAGGGAGGGAGATATGGCAGTAGTCAGAGTTTCAGTAGACAAAAAAGGCATGGGACAGTCATATGGAGAAATGTAATATGATGAGCAGAGAGTCTTGAGTACCTTTCTGAAGTGGGTAGGCATGAATCTAAGGTGTTACCGTAATCTTCCAGACAGGTTAAATTGCTCAGGGCTTGACAGAGGTAGATGGATTAGGTCCAACCAGAGTTGGGAATTGCAACAGCCAGGTGCAACAGGTGAGAAGAAAAGGGAGTTTTTCCAAGGGAAGGTCTTAATAATAGACTGTGGAATCAGGGCTGAATAGAAAGGAAAGTAAAAACAGAAGAAGAATGATGGTGAAAAGTGGAAAAGATAATGGACTGGAGGACTCAGGGACACTGGAAAACTATCATTCTCATTAGTAAGTGAGCTGGAACTAAAAGCTTTAGTTGAATGGTGGGTGTCTGAGTGAGAGATCCAGAGGTGGTAGACGACATCAAATTCAAAGAGTGACTGGATGGAGATAGCTGAGGTGAAGTGAGGATCACATCTCTGACAGAGAAAAGAAACCTTTACAGAGAATGTGGCAAAAGAACTTTGTCTTTGAAGATGAGTTGGAATTTGCTTAGCAGAGAAGGTAAGGAGGTAGAAAGTAAAAAAGGGGAGACAGAATAGATGTATAGAGGAAACAAAGACAAAATTTATGTCATATTGAGGAACAGAAAGCCTAGCCACCAGATGGGGTGCATGGGTAGAAATTCCTGGAAAAACGAGACATTTAGAGTGAAAATAAATTTTAAAACAAGAGGTATGGAGGTTCAAGTAGTGTTGACTTGAAGACTAGGTTGTCAATCATGATGTCAGTAGACATTTAGTGGTATGTATCAAGATTACAAATAACAGAGACTTACATATTATTTATTTTCTTTGGGACTAACAACTTCTGATTATGCAGATTTGTGGTTTTTGCAGTCCTGGAAAATTCTCAGCCACTGTCTTTTTCCTGTTCACTTTATTCTCTAGAACTTCTCTAGAAGTTCTTCTAGAACCTCCGTGTTGCACCTTTCTCTCTATATAAGACAGGGTGACCACTATCAACTTCAATCAGCTGAATCAATGACAAGAACATTTAATCAATTTAAAATCACTGAACTTTAAATCATTTGTAAACATTACTTTGGGCATATATTAAATGTTATAGATCATTATCTAATATCTCATTCCAGATCTCTGTTCTTACAGAGATCTCTAATAACAGATGAATTATTAGAAGGCAAATTAATTCTCTTAGCACCTTAGAGTACCCATCTAGCTCAGTTCAGTCACTGTTGTGTCCGACTCTCTGCAACCCCATGAACCGCAGCACGCCAGGCCGCCCTGTCCATCACCAACTCCCGGAGTCCACCCAAACTCTTATCCGTCGAGTCAGTGATGCCATCCAACCATCTCATCTTCTGCCATCCCCTTCTCCTCCTGCCCTCAATCCCTCCCAGCATCAGGGTCTTTTCAAATGAGTCAGCTCTTCGCATCAGGTAGCCAAAGTATTGGAGTTTCAGCTTCAGCATCAGTCCTTCCAATGAACACCCAGGACTGATCTTTAGGATGGACTGGTTGGATCTCCTTGCAGTCCAAGGGACTCTCAAGAGTCTCCTCCAACACCACAGTTCAAAAGCATCGATTCTTCAGTGCTCATCTGTCTTTATAGTCCAACTCTCACATCCATACATGACCACTGGAAAAACCATAGCCTTGACTAGATGTATCTAGATTTGATGCCAAATACACAGGTATTTCTCAAGTACTTCTCATCTAATCTAAAAACCACAGTTTTAAGTTTCAGGACTTAATTTCTTTCTTGTCCAAGTCTTGAAACCAAATATAAAAATAATGTATTTCCACTAAGATGTGTGAGTAAACTGCAAATTAAAACTAAAATGAACAAATTTCCTTAGGACAAAGAGTTATTTTTTAAAGTTTCTGTACTTAAAGAGGAGCTTGGAGCTTACCTACGATAAGCTTGTGAAGAGCACCCTTATCTCCATTAATAGCAGCAGCATGAACTTGGGATGCTAATGAAGAACCAGGAAAGAACAAGTTCTCTGACCTGTTCATAGTCCTCTCAACAACTGGAACAACCTGAAACGATGATGAAACCAATAAATATCCGCAGGAAACACTTCTGAAATCCATCTCACCAGTTATAAATGGGTATGTTATAAATACGGCTTACTAGAAACACTTCACCAGGATTCAAAATGTCTACAGTCCTAGTTTTAGAAGAGACATAAGGAGCAAATCAGCTGAACTTCTGTATAAGTTGCTCATCTGTAAAATGAAAGGATTAGATGCTTCTAAGATGCTTATCAGGGGCTGAGAAAAAAAAAAAAAGGCAAAGTATTTAACATTAGACCCAGGGTTCAAAAGGCACAGTGACTGGATAAGTTAATACAGGTGCTTTGACTCCATGGAATACTAAATGTTAGAACTAATACTAGGACTAAAGGTTATAACCAAGTCACAAAATAATGATATAAACTTGTCAGGCTAGAATTACCTAGATTTAAGTGCTAAAGTAGAAGGTACCTCATTCTTTCTTTCATGCCCACAAAAGGAGGCATTTTTATTTGTTCTCTTCTTGTGTTCACCAGGGAAATTAGAGATTAGTTAGAGATCTTGACCTCAAGAACGTAACTTGGAAACCACACTATTAGGATAAACCATGTTTCATTAAGGAAAAGTTTGCTGACTCGTCATTTGATATGGTCTGATAGACTCTTCTAGAAATGCATTAGCTGCATAGGAAAACAGTACATTCCCTATCATAACAGTGCTTAAACAGAGACTGGATTATGTCAGAAAAGGAGCAGGAAGAATTCAAGTACCTGATGGAAGGAAAGAGTAGTTTCATCAATGATCATAAACTTGCATCCTAAACTTAACATGTCCTATCAAAGTTTCAAACTTGAACTTACAAGGATAAGGGAGATAATAAGTACAAGAAACATAGGGAGTGGTAAGTAACACGGCAAACCGGAGCATGTGTACCTATCTAAAGGGAGAAGCTGTTAATTAGCTATAGCTAATATCTATCATAAGGGTAAGCAAGCCCTCTTCTGATTTTAAAAAGTGAAACTCCAATCCCTGTGACTCTCTTTTGTAAAATAAATTTATTACAATTCATGAGCTTGATTGTCATTAACAAGGATTACCGGTTATTTTAAAGTGAAAAGTATTTTCTTAATTTTGTAAAATTCAGCTCTTCATGGCTTTATTTTGCTGACAATTTCAGTTAACGTGTTGGCAGAAATTATGGGCTTTTTGAGAGACTTCTGTCATGTCTGAGCAAGTCTGTCATGTCAGAAAAACCAGTTATATGCAGGATTAAATTAAAGTGACTTAAGCTGCAAAACAGGGGTGGAGGTTAAAACACAGAAGAGTAATTGTACTTGGGCTCAAGGTCCAGTTCTTTAATAATATGTAGTGTAATCGTAGGCTACCTCAGCTCTGCCTTCCCGTAAAATATGAAACATGAAATCAGTAGACCATGCCGATTCAGTTAACAGGTTGAGTGCCAACTATGTGCTACGCACTGTTCTGAACTCTAGACATTGTTCTGCACTTTAGATCACTCCAGATGATCAGAGTTTTGGACACATCAGAATCACACAAAAAAAACTTTTGGAAAATAAACTAAAAATTTTATCTCAGTTATACATATTTATATATATCTCATCTCATAATTCTTAGCAACTTAGTACAGAAACAGGTAGATAGATGGTTTTCAGTGAATGCTTGTTGAATGAAAAATCAGTCATAGGCTGAGTACCAAGTCCAGAGGGTGACTAGGGTCGAAGTTTAGTTTCTTGGAGTAATGAGTTCATACTCATCTGTCTCTGATCTTTTGTAACTCCTCATTTCACCAACCAGAGAGGTTGGTGAATGGTAAAGAGATAAGAACACCAGACTAGGAGAGAGGAGACCTAAATAAAACTCTTGACTCCATCACTATTTAATTTTGTCAGCCTGAGAAATCCTTTAAAAAAAAAAAACCTCAAATGTATACAAAAAATTTTTAGCGCTGTTTTTCATAAATTTTTATAGATCAAAACCTCTTGGTTATGAAATTCTATAAAACGCAAAGGTATCATCATCATTAACTAACTATAAAACAAGCCAGTGTAATAAACGCTCTAATAACTGCAGAAAACCAGCGGCGCTGTAGCAGAAGGACTGTTAGTCGCTCAGTCATGGCTGACTCTTTGCAACTCTGTGAACTATAGCCCGCCAGGCTCCTCCATCCATGGAATTCTCCAGGCAAGAATACTGGAGTAGGTAGCCATTCCCTTCTCCAGGGGTTCTTCCCAACTCAGAGATAGAACCCAGGTCTCCTGCATTGCAGGCGAATTCTTTACCATCTGAGACACCACGGAAGCCCAAAGTGGTGCAACAAGCAACGGAAGAGTAATTGTGATTAGGACCAAAGGATTGGTTGTTCGGGAAGTTCTCAGAGATGGTGACTGACATCAAATCGGGGTCTCCTGCATCGCAGGCAGATTCTTCAGCAGCTGAGCTACCAGGCAAGCTCAGCTGAGATAACGTGGCTACAACTGGGGGCACGGCGATCTAGTTAGGTGTTCGTAAATTAATCTGGAGAGCTAACGGGGCCCAGGTTAAGCCCCTTAACTGCTTGGCTAGCAAGTGTTGTGACCATCCTGTAGGAGTGATCCACGCATCAGTGGCAATCACTGTCGCACTGGGCTTTTCAGTTTACAACGGGCTTCCCCAGTCCATCCCATAACTATTCCTTACAGGAGTCCAAAGTGACAATTACGGGTAAGTCATTAACACACTCCACTGAAACCCAGCAAGGGGGTGGCTCTGACTTTATAACGCTAGAACTAACGCAGAGAGAAGAGCAAGGAGGCAAGGAGGCCAGTGATTGGAGGTTCAGGCCACAGCTCAGGCCAGGAGGGCCGAGAGTTTGAGGCAGGGGCTAAGCACTGCAGACCGATAGGAGCCTCCCCAGCCAGGCCCCCCTCTTACTCACCGTCGCCTCCTCCAGGACTCACGTCCTGGGGGCGGCTCCAGGAGGCACGACCCCCGCTGGGCCGCCCCTCCTGCCCGGCCAGGCCACTACATCCAGCTGGGACTGAGCCCCCCGAGCTGAAAACTAGTGGAACCCCTCGGAAGGCGGAGCGAGGCTCTTGACGGCACAGCCTTCTGGGAACTGTAGTTCGCGTCCTCTGATAACGCTCCCCACTCCCTTCCTATCCCACAAGGCCCCGCGCGCGGCCGACTTGGTGGACCAGGCCCGAGAGCTTGATGGGAAGAGAGTTCCGCGCGTTTGATGACGTGCTCTGTGAGAATGGCGCGGGACTACATGTTCCGACGGGCTCTGAGAGAGGCAGGACCCGGAAGTGAGGGTGTGCGAGGCCTCTCTGGAAGTTGTCCCGGGTGTTCGCCGCTGGAGCTCCGGGTCGAGAGGACGGGGTCCCGCTGCCGGGAGAAGCCTCCACTGCCGCCGGCGCCCGGAGCCCAGCGCTTTCCTATCCTAACCCGACCTTCTGCAGTCCCAGACGCCAGCGCCTGTCCCTGCCGCGGACTCCGGCGCTACCATGATTCCTGCCATCTTCCTATCCTTACCCGACCTCAGATGCTCCCTGCTTCTCCTGGTGAGTGAGTGAAGGAATGACAGACCCCTCGATAGATGGCCTGCGGTCTCCCGCCCTTGCCGCGGGGGACACAGCTGCTCCCACCCTTGCTCTCCCGTTTTTTCTCCTGGTGGCGAGGAGTGCACCCTCCCCCGCTGCCTTCATTCTCAGCATCCGTCTGTCCGCTTCCCAGGCTCCGGGTTCCTGAGGCCTGAGAAACCGCGGACGGAGAATGAGACCTGGAAGCCCGAGAATTAGCCCTGGAAGCCCGAGAATTAGCCCTGGGAGAGGAGTCTGTGGGGGTGGGGGGGGTCACGGCGAGCAGCGCCCCTTCCCCCGGCGTTCGGAGGTTGTTTCAGTCTAGAGGGCTCGTGAACTTGGTGGTAGTCTGTGTCCGGAAGGTCGGGGCGTAGACCTTCTGTTCCCTCCCACCCCCTTCTTTTGGGAACAGTGTGAGGCCGACAGGTGCTGGGGTCTTGTGAATCTCGCTCTTAAGCCCTGAAACGGTGCCCGGGTCGGCGGAGCCCTCTGTTGTGGCTTGATAGGATTGGTTGAGAACCCGGAACTGGAAGCTGGTTTGGTGTCCACTGGGGAAGGAAAGGTTTGAAGGGTGGAGGCTGTGATTACCAGAAAGCCTCAGCTCAGAGCCTCCCTCACATCTGGTTATACTGCCCCTCTCCACCCCGAAATTTAAGCAGAGTTGTTCTTCAGGCTCCTGATTGGTGACTGACCAGGTTCTCTGCAGACATATGCATTTATTTCTTAACTCCCTCACCGGCTCAGCACCATCCCATGTTGCAAAGGAAGCTTCCCCCACTCCATCTTCCTCCAAAGTACATCTTGAGTGTGCAACCTGAATAATCCAGGCTGCAGGTCAAACTGAGACAAAAGTGAAGGAGTAACTCCATGTGGCAAAATGATGTACTTTTAATTGAACTGTTGTTATAACACGATGTTTGAAAGTACTTTAATTGTAGTAGGTTTTTATAAAGCTAAATTTAAGTTGAACATTGTTAAAATCACTCTTGACAACGTAAGAAATATAATTCAGTGACTCACAGGAAGTCATATAGCTGGTTACTGGCAGGACTGGGATTTGAAGCAGGTCTCTTGACTCACAGTGATTATTCTGCCACATCACGTTAAATTTTTAATGTTTGTGTTTGAAATAGTTTCTCTCTGCCTGTCCCCTCTCTTCCTGTTTTCTCTTCCTCTCTCCTCCCTCTTTTCTCTCTGATTTTCAAGTCATATTCAAAGGCAAGATCCAGTACCTGGACTTTTTCAGAGGAAAAGTGCTGTTAAAAAACTAAAGGGTATGTCAAAATACTTTTGAGAACTAAAAGTTGCGTATAAACATGGTCATGTTACATGGTGAAGTGTTCTGTTGTCACTTCTCATAGAGTGAGGAGTGGTTTCTCTGTAGAGGAAAATATTCTGTAGAGAACTATTTCTTTGTAATTGCATCATACCCTGTGGGTCTTCTTGTGGAGTACTAGAATAATACTCAGAGACCACTCTGTCTTTAAGGGTAATAGATACTGATCTTTCCATATCCATAAAAATGGCCAGAATTATGAGTTGTTTGCCAGAAGTTACTTCTAGGTTACAAAAAATATGAAGGGCAAAAATCATAAGAGATTGAAAAGAGAAGGTGAGATACTGATTAGGGAAACTGTATCAGATTCACTGTTTGGCTGTAGAGATAAATTTAAGAAAGAAAAATAATTTGTTTTGAAATAACTTACGCTTTTTATAGAAGCCTACAAACGTTGTTAAGCATAAAAAAATTTTTTTTCTAATACTTTTAAAATCTTGTTAACATTTTGCATACTTACCTCTCTAAATAAATGTAGCAGAATAGAAGGTATTTTAGAGAATAAAGGTTAACCTATAAAGGTTAATAGGCTGGAAAATAAAGCCCACGTAAAGGTTTAGTAAGCCAGAGTTACACGTGGAGCTAAATTCAGTTCGAATACAGTGTTTACCAAAGTAGTTTTAATAATCATTTGCCAGTTAGCAAATATTTATAGAACATCTGTCTGATCACAATTTGAATTACTTATCTAATTGGCAGTTCTGTTCTTGTGATGGAACCTGCTTACTCAGTAACCCACCTGTCTAAAAATACATCCTTTATCTTCTCTAGTGTACTTTCTTCCTCCTCCTTCCAGCTTCCCCTCTCAGGCTTCAAGTTTATTCCCTCCCACATTCAGCCATTGAATATCTAAGTTCCCACTTAGTTGAGGTCATTTTTTTTCTCTCCCTTAAATGGCATGCTCCAAAAAACCATATATTCTATTACCACAATGATTTTTTTCAGGCAAACTATACCTCCGCCCTGAAGAACTAGATCTGTTTAGTGGTGTTCATAAGATAACAGCTGAAACATAAAATCCTAAACTTCTGTGGGCAGGTAGTTCCCCCGCCCCCACCTCTATCTCAGAATCATTTTGGGATTTATCATTCTCTGCCTTAAAAGCCTTTCTGGGATGGGTAACTAAGCATAAAAGTTCAGTGTGACAACATTTTCTTCCCTGAGCTTTTATGTATAGATAGCTTTAAAGTCAGGGTCTTAGACACTGAGTTCTTGTATTTGGGGCTTGCTTTTTGAAACACACCCTTTGCCTTTAAATTATTTTTAAACTCCACTGAATTTCTGCGTCTTGGGCAAAGTCAGGTATTGTAGACACACTGGTTTTGGGTAAATCAGAAGAGGTATTTGAGTCACCTGGCGAACGCAAAAAAGGCCTGATCCTCCCGGTATCGTCTCTGTACCTCATTCTATTAGTCCTGGCGTGGTTTGAATTGACCCATTAGACGTGCGATTACAACTTCAGTCCCTAAGCTGTATAATCTCTGCCTCTATGACTGCTTACCATATTTTGTGGATGATTTGAATCCTGGAACACCCTTTCTCTACTGAAGCTCCATGTTTGTAATGTCTGGATTGGGACGTCCCTTCTCAGTTGTGTGTGCTTTTAAGGGGAGCTACCTGAGCCAGAGGAAAAGCATCCGACCAGACACATCGTGGCAGTGTCCTTTCATTTTGCTCTGTGACAGTCTTTGCTTGGCAGCTCACAGGATAAGTTAAGGGGATGTTTCATGTATCACTAACCAAAGAATCAGTTACTTATCAGTTGGCTCTTTTCTGCTTGTCTTTCTGAGATGGGCTTACTCAGGACTAAAAGTGATCATTTTCCCCTTAAATTATTTATTTCTTAATGGTTCTTCCTGCATTGGTTTTGTACACGAGTTTTGAGATTGTGAGATAAGTGAAATAAGACTAAGTTGGAATGAAGTTGTCTGATATAGCCTAAACTAACTTTTCAGTGGTTCACAGATTATAACATTCTGCTCCAGTTACTTTATGAAAAAGGCTTTCTCGTTAATCTCTTGATGGTTGGGTTTATAGATCATAAGTTGTTACTAGCCCTAATTGCCTTGTGCCTGGACATTAAGGCTTTTGACATTATTGTTCTCCTGGTTTGTTCAATATGTATAAGAAGCCAAGAAGTGTTTGCTTAGGGAACTACGTAAATCAGAGAGCTAAGTAAATATTTATTTAACTAAACTCTTTAAGCACCTTAAAAAATAAGTACTGTAGAATTCAGAGATGTCAGTTTTAGCCATTTGTGGCTATTACAAATACTGATTCCTGTCATCAAAAAGAGTACTTCTGGATACATGTGGTTCCATTTATAACTGTGGGTCATTTATCCTGTTGATATGGCTTGCTCCAGGTCAGTGGTTTCCAGAACCTGGTTGCTCACTGGAAGCATCTGGGCCAGTGTTAATACGGTTCTGTGCAGGCCCTCTGCCAGGCTGCTTGTGTCTGCGGGACCCAAACATGGCTTGTTTGTCTGCTTCGTTTTCAGTTCCCAGTCATTTGTTTTTTCTTTAGTATGTCTCTCCCTGAAAGATAGGAATTAAACAGCAAAGCAGAAAACAGAATACCCTTGTCACAAGTAGAAAAAGTACAGAAATTTCTTTATATCATCAAATACTTAGTGTTAAGATTTTCCTGTTTCAAAGAGAAAAAAACTTTTAACAAATTGAATGTTCAAAGCAGGAGCCTACGTTACTTCTCACTTTCTGAATGTTACTGATTGTGTCCTCCTGGTGTGGTTTCATGTTTCTCTGTTCCATTTATTCCCTATACATTTATAGTTAACTTTATGTGGGCTTAACCACCAATTCAATAGTGAGGTTCATTTGTTTTTCAGTTTTTAAAAAGTTATTTTCTAATATATAATTATCAATATGTAAAGTTTACTGCTTCCAAAGCAATCTAGAAAACAAGCTATATTTATAGAAGGCTAACTTCTATCCCTGGTCTAGTCTATTCTCTTAACTTCCTCCTCATATAAGAAACCTTAAAAGTTTTTTTTTTTAATTTTTAATTCTTTCTTTTAAAAAGAAATGTAAGCAGTCTACTTGTATCTGTATATCTGTATGTTTCTCCATCCCCTTCGTAAACTCTGGCACATTATTCACACTTTCTCTGCCCACCTCACCCTCTCCCCTCTTAAACTCTGTAAAGTGTATCCTAGAGTATAAAGTGTATTCAGGATAGAAATATTCCTTATTTTTTCTAAACTGTTTATTTCTCCTCTGGGTAGATGCGGCTACTATTATTCCCATTCTTTTGCTTTAACAAATATGTTAAACTACTATCAGAACTACTTTTGCTAGTGTATCTTTGAGATATTAATAGATTCCTGTAATTGAAGTTGCTCAGGCAAATAATAAATGTAACTTTGTAGATGTTGCTAGATAGTAGAAATTCCACAGGAGTTTTGCCATTTTGAGTTCTCACCAACAAGGTAACAAACTTTTCTCATATTTGCATTCTTTGCCATGGGGTTTTTAACTCTTTATCACCTTAGTTGATCCTCGGATACAGTCAGCTCGAGAAGCACTGGAGGGTACTACTCAACTCAGTAATATTTTGGATGGGTTAAAACTTATAAAAGCCTTGTAAAAAATGTCTGGTTGTCACAGTTGCTGACAACGTGTTCCAC